CGACAATAATCTACCCAGGGCCCCCCCACCCCTCCCCAAGGCCGCGAATCCCAAGCATCCCCGTGAATTCACAGGGATGCTTGGGATTCGGAATCCTGGGGAGCTTCAGGGTGGAATTGTGTCGGAGGGTGGAGAATCCCAGGAATCCCAAGCATCCCTGTGAAATGACACGGTTTCTGGGTTTCTCATCACAGAAATCCCTAGCATCCCAATGAAATCACACGGTTCGGTGCCTCTTGGGTTCCAATGCGCCGCATCTCCCATGCAGCCGCTCAGTTCGTTTCCGCGTCACTGTGTGTAGTGCGCATGCTTTTCCCTGCGTGGCATGCTGCAGCGTGCCCCGATTCCTTCTCTTAGTTTTCCTCAGCCTTCTCCCCCTCCTCCCCCTCCTCCGCCTCCTCCTCCCCCTCCTCCTCCTCTTCGTCTGCCTCGCCCTTCCCGTCCGCCTCCTCCGGGGCCCAAGAGGCACCGAACCGTGTGATTTCACGGGGATGCTTGGGATTTCTGTGATGAGAAACCCAGAAACCGTGTCATTTCACAGGGATGCTTGGGATTCCTGGGATTCTCCACCCTCCGACACAATTCCACCCTGAAGCTCCCCAGGATTCCGAATCCCAAGCATCCCTGTGAATTCACAGGGATGCTTGGGATTCGCGGCCTTGGGGAGGGGGGGGGGCCCTGGGTAGATTATTGTCGGAGGTAGGAAATCCCAGGAATCCCAGGCATCCCTGTGAAATCATAGGGTTTGTGGGATTAACATCCCAGAAATCCCAAGCACCCCTGTGAAATCACAGGGTTCGGTGCCTCTTGGGCCCACTGTGTGTGCAGAATGCTCGCCACAAGCTCAGGGTCCCATGGGCCCCGCGACCCGCAGGTGTCTCATCTTCCTCTTCCTCCTCCTCCTCCTCCTCCTCCTCCTCCTCCCAGGTATTGCGACGCTTAGGGGGAAAAGGCATGAAGGTGAAGAAGACGTGGATGGGGGAGGGAAGCATGAAGAGGAAGAGCGAGGGATCAAGACAGGGAAGGCGATGGGGGGAAGAGAAATGAATGATGGCAAGAAGTTGAGGTCAACGATCGATGCAAAATCAATGGGTGCTGGGGGGGGGGGGGGGCTGCGCGCAATATATATATATCTATATATATATATATATATATATATATATGCGCACATATATGTATACACACACGTGTGTTCTAGTGCTATCGGCATATAAAGCTATATGGCTATATGGTTATAGTGCTATAGGGCTACATGGTTAAAAGGCTATAAGGCTATAGGGCTATAGGGCGAATGGGCCATAGGACTATAGGGCTATAGGGCTATCAGGCGATGGGGCTATGGGGCTACAGGGCTACAGGGCTATAGGGCTATAGAGCTATAGGGATATAGGGCTATATCGCTATCGGGCTATAGGGCTATATGGTTATAGGGCTACATGGCTATATGGCTATACGGCTATAGGTCTATTGGGCTATAGGGCTATCAGGCTATTAGGCTATTAGTCTATAGGGCTGCAGTGCTGTAAGGCTGTAGGGCTATAGGGCTACATGGCTATAGGGCTATAGGGCTATAAGGCACCCGGGCACCCGGGCACCTTTGCACCCGGGCGGGCCGCGGAAATCGGTGGCAAACCTCACCAGCCATATGAATCCGCTAGGACCCCTACAGAGGCAAACTTTGATTGGGGAACACACCTTACAACACCATATCGCTTGCACCACATAGCTTGCACCACATAGCTTTCGTCACACATATTAGCCACACCGCTTGAACCACACGGCTTACATCACACAGGTTGTACATCGTTCGTGTAATGTCATTCCATTTGGGTTCCGCGCTGGCGAACCACTTGTTGTTTTAAACCATATTTCGTACGCTAAAAATATCGGCGGCCGAAAACAGAACGTGTGCTGCTGCATGTGCTGCAGAAGTCGAACTGGCCTTCTGATGGCAGGGCCCCTTGGACGGCCCTCCCCTCTCTTCCCGTCCTCCTTGGGCCTGGGCCCCTCTTCCTTCGTCATCCCTCCTTTCTCCCTCCTCTCTTCCCCTTCCTCTCTCCCTCCTTCCGCCTTCGTCCTTGGGCTTCCTGCTCCCTCCTCCTTCCTTCGTCCTCTCTCCATCCTCCGTCCCTCCGCCATACATCTCTAGCAGGACGGTGTGTCAATCCGCGCGTTTTCCCTCCTTCCCCTCCTTCCTTTCCCCCCCCCTTCCTTCCCTCTTGTCCCTTTTTCCCTCCTCTTTCCCTCCTTCCCCTTCCCCTCCTCCCTCCTTTCCCCTCCTCCCCTTTCCCTCCTTCCGTCCTTTCCCTCCTTCCCCTTCCCCTCCTCCCTTTTTCCCCTTCCCCCTCCTTCCCCTCCTTCCCCTCCTTGCTCCCTCCTTCCTTTTCCCCCCCTCCCCCTCCGCCCCTCCTCCCTCCTCCCCCTCGCTCCTCCCCCCTCTCCCTCCCCCCCTCGGGGCCCAGGTGGAGCCTCGCGGAGGGCATGTCCAGGGCTTCTGGGATGGGCCCCCCTGTGCCTCTTGCAGGGCCCACCGCTTCCTCGAGGGCCTTCCCCATCTTCGTGCCCTGCGTCTCGCCTCCTCCCCCCCGTCTCCTTCCCCCTCCGCCCCTCCTTCAAGCTTCCCTGTCCCTTCTTCCACTGCCGACGAACTTTTTGATCCCCCCCCCCCCTTTCCCCCTCCCCCCCCCCCCCCCTCCTCCCTTCCCTTTTCTCTCCAACCATGCATATAGCCTCTTGCCCGCTCTTCATCCTCGCCTCCTCCTCCTTCATTTTCCATCCCCATCCCTCCTTCCTTTTCCTCCCCCTTTCCCTCCCCTCCCCCTCCCCCTCCCTCCTCCTCCTCCTCCTCCTCCTCCTCCTCCTCCTCCTCCTCCTCCTCCTCCTCCTCCTCCTCCTCCTCCTGTGTGGTCGCAGGCTGGGTCGCACCCGATGGTTGCGGCAGAGAGATGCGCACGTCACGGACCAGCTGGTATTTTCACTTGGCCTCAAGAGCAACTTGAGCCGCGAACGGCTACAGAGAGAGAGAGAGAGAGAAAGAGAGAGTTAGAGAGTCAAACACACACTCTGCGGAAGAGAGGCACGTGAACTTTGCACAGGTCTGTCGGTTCCCGCATTGTCCGTTTCAGCTTCGAGGCCTTCTGAAACCATGACTGCCTTATGCTCAATCACCCCCCCCCGTGCTGAGAGGCCACCCTTCGGCCTCTCAGCGCGCCTCGTCTCTGTCAATCCGAAGCCTTCGCCTGGCCTCAAGAATAGCTTGAGCCACGAACGGCTACAGAGCGAGAACACTCTGCGGCAGAGGGGTACGAGAACTCTGCACAGGTCTGTCGGTGCCCGCATTGTCCGGTTCAGCTTGGGGGCCCTCTGAGACCAGCCCCGCCCTTATGTCCTATTAGTCGCACAGCCGGGCATTGTCACAGGTAATTTTCTCGGAATTTACCCCGTGAGTCCTACTGCACCCATCAGAAATCGCTACACTCCCTCCTTCAATAATTGAGCGTTTTTTTCAATCAGTCTCTGGTAGCTCTTCTCCATATTGCACGCTGCGCCCTAAGGAGTGGCTGTGGAGTGGCGTTCGCCCGCCCTGCACGCCCTGCCAAATACCTCCCTTCTCTCCTCCTCGCTTCTCCTTTTCTTCACGCATGCAGCACGCTCGTTTTTCTCTTTCAGGCCACAGTCCATTGCATGACTTTGCCTATCGCAGGTTGGCTTTTGTGTTGTTCCTGGTTTGCCTGGCTACCTTTTGGTTCGCACAGCGGTCGAGGCCGAGTCAGGTGAAGTTCTGTAATCGCGCCTCTTCTGTTTCCTCCTTAGAGCAATCCCCCCCGTCAGTGATCTTCGATGGCTGCCAGGAGGCGGAGTTGCGGCCACGTGGGCAGGACAGCGTTTGGGCGTGCTGGCCCATCCGCAGGCAAATGCACGTATATTCTGAGGGATGCCAGCCAATACTCGGAAGAATGGCGTGGCACCGCACTTCGTGCTATTTTCGTGGCTCCACTCGTCACCTTCTCAATTCCTCTTCGAGAGGAAGGCCACATTTTGCTAATCTACGTTCCGGCCGCGTGGCCGATAAGATGACTTACCCACATTTTTGTAAATCTTTGTCTTGGGCGCGTGGCCGATAAGAGAACCTGCCCACACGTCCCTACCTTTTGGAATCACAGTGATGCTGTGCTTAGTTTTCGGGTGTTACCCGCATTTCCTGCTACATCAACCTGGCCGCTTCTGCGGGAGTCGGACGTACGATTCATAATCATTCGCGATCGACAGATCCTGCGGTGTGCCCGTTGTGCACCAAGGTCCAGCTGCACCAATCGCACGTCACAAAGACCAGGGTGAACACATCCCCTGGTTTGCGAGGCCCCAAATAGCCAGGAGCGGCCTGTTCCTCACGAGGAAATCTGTGCTGTAGATCTGCCGTGTGGGTCATCTTGTGAACGCCTTTGGGGCCTCTTGGGGCCCTCTGGAGGCTTTCCTGCTGCTCTGGCACGTTCATGCGATCTGGACCACAGCCCGAGGCCATCAGTACCACCACCGGGGATAACCCCGGGCCCCCCCAAGACCGTAGTCCATTCAGGGTGGTGGACCTTCCACTCCAGGAACATTACTTGGGCCCATCTGTCGGGTTAAGAATGTTACGGCCGGGCCCAGAGCCATATTACTTCAAGTCCCTCTTCCTCCTCACCTCCTCCTCCTCCTCTCCCCTCCTGTCCTCCTCCTCCTCCTCCTCCTCCTCCTCCCCTCCTCCTCCTCCTCCTCCGTCCTCCTCCTCCCCTTCTCCTCCTCTTTCCCTCTTCTCCTCTCCCTCCTCCTCCTACTGTCCCTCCGTCTCCACCTCTCCTCCTCCCCTCCTCCTCCTCCTCTCCTCCTCCTCCTCCTCCTCCTCCTCCTCCTCCTCCTCTCCCTTCTCCTCCTCCTCCTCGCCCTTCTCCCTCCCTCATACACTCCTCCCTCCCTTCCTTTTTCCTCCCTTCCTGCCTCCTCCCGCTTGCCGCTGTGAGGTTCCGCCGCCTAAGTCCGAGGTCGTGCTCTTCGGCGGCAAGGGCGGCGTGGGGAAGACGTCCATGAGCTCCGCGCTGGCCGTGCGCGCCGCCAACGAGGGGCAGCGCGTGCTGATACTGTCCACGGACCCGGCCCACTCGCTCGGAGACGCGCTGGGCACCCCGCTTTCGGAGGACTCAGTGGCGGAAAAGGTACGGATACGGCTGCTCGTCCTGGAGAGCCCTCATTGCCACGGCCAGATTCTCCTCGCATATTTTCTGGTCAGAATGCGCCCCGGCAGAGATCCAGAGAGTAGCGGCATCTGTACCTCTTTGTCCCCTAAGAGGAGGCCAGGCAGGTGGACGGGTTCATGGGCGCTGGCGAGCTCTGGGCCATGGAGGTGGACACCGCCGCCGCAATGGGCCGCTTCCAGGCGACGGTGCGGGACGCGCTGAAGAAGCGAAAGGACGAGGGCGGCATCATCGGTCAGGCGATGGAGATGTTGCCGATGGAGGACTTTGTCAGCCTCTTCGACACCCTGCCGCCAGGCAGCGACGAGATCGTCGCGCTTACCGAGGTCCTCGAGGAGGTCAAAAAGGAGAAGTTCGACCAGATCATCATCGACACTGCCCCCACCGGCCACGCCGTTCGCCTGCTCAGCTTCCCCGACTTCCTGGAGCGCCTCGCGGACCGGGTGGCGCGCCTGCGCGACCGCTTCGGCTGGCTGACCGGCGGGGGCGGGCCCGATCAACTCAGGTCTTTCCAGTTCCGCATGATCGAGCTGCAGGAGCTCTTCACAGACCCTGATCGCACCACTTTCACAGTGGTCGCGATCCCCACAGGCTTGGCGCTGGAAGAGTCGAAGAGGCTGCTGGACGATCTCGTGGAGCAGGACATCAAGGCTGGGATGGTCGTCGTGAACCGCGTCTTGGACCCCGAGCAGGTGCAGCTGGCGAGCGCTCGTCTGCAGGACTCGGCCACGCGCAGAGGGGGGCAGGGGGAGGGGGGAACGCTTCTTAGAAGGAGGCTGCTTTTTAGAAGGCGCGGGCCTTGTTCATATATGTAGGGCCGGAGAAGCGGCCTCCTTCTAAGAAGCCTTCCCCCTCCCCGTACCCACTTATTCGCGCTGCCAAAGGATTCGCAGCAGGCGTCACTGGACTCCTTCGAGGCCTTGTCGAAGAGGGAGGGCGTTGCCATCACGCGAGTCCCCTACATGGACCGGGAGGTGAGGGGCATCTACGGTCTGGCCTACCTCGGCCAGAAGCTTGCGGAGGAGGTGGCAGCGTGAGTCCGTGGGCCAGCGCTGCGCGTCTGCTCTCTCTCTCTCTCTCCCACCCCCTCTCTCTCTCTCTGCGGGGAACGTAAGACTGGAGTACGCCGGAACGCGGGTTTGCCAGCGTTATTTGGCGAGCGCGTCCTGGATTTTGACGGTCCAGTTTTCGTGGGACGTTTGCAGCGGGAGCTCGCGTCAAACTTCAGACTGGGTCTCGTCGTTTCCATGATGGCCCCGCCAGGCCAACCCGAGTCCTCTCAACCCGAGTCTTACGTCATCCCGATGTTCCTCTCCCTCACAGGAGGGCGAGGTGAGCGAACGGTGGTTGGACCTCGGGGGGCCCCCTCGTCGCCCCGGCTGGCCCGGTACGTCTGGACCCCGGGAGGGGTCCAGGGACCGATCTCGAGCTGCCGTTGTCTCAACTCGCCCTGCTCCTGCTCCCTCTCTCCCACTTCCTCTCTCTGTCTCTCTCTCTCTCTCTCTCTCCCTCTCCCTCTCCCTCTAGTGCACCAACCAGCACACGGGGCCCTCATCGCGGCCTCTGGAGGGCTCTGGGGCCCGACGGGGCCAGGGGCGTCTTCAGCAGCCGCGCCTAGGCCAAGGCCTTCCAGAACATTGCCGTCATACTGCAGGAAAGCCTCCCGGTAGTCCGAAGTTTGGTCGGACATCGTTTTCTGGAAGCAGCAGATGGGCCTTCGTCCAGCATGGCGGCCGCCGGTGGGGTGCTCTTCTCTTCTCCAGCTGCCTCCTTGGCCGCCTTGTCTCTGTCTCCCGCGAGGGGCGGTTGCGATCTACAGCCAGCGCGTGCGCCTGGGACTCGAGAAGTGTCGCTTTGCGCCCTCTCCCCCTGCCGCGCGTGGCGCTCGCGACATGGTCCGCCATACCTTTGGTGGCAGAGGTACGTGCGTGGCATTCCGTGGACACGCGCGCAGGACGACTTCCCCTGTTGGTGCGGGCACGGCAGCACACGCCAAGTAATGTAGGGGCGGCGGAGGCGCTCAAAGGTGGCTGTGAGCACGGCCGAGACAGGCGAGGATAATCAGGGGACGGGCAGCCAGCAGTAGTGAAACCAGTGCCCTCAGGTTGGCCTGTGCCCCCCCCAATCTCCTGCAGAGTCCTGATGTATATTGTCGGCTGTCCCATGCGCTGTTGGTCTGACTCCAGGCGGTCGGCATGTTTCATTTCCCGTTTGGTTGTTTGGGTGGGCATATATTTGCTTCTTCTGGGCCACCAGCGTTTGAGTCATTTGAGAGTACGTGAGGAAAGTAGGTCGACCGCGCGCGGACTGGACAACCCAGGTGCGCGAGTGTGGCAGCACACGGCTTGGCAAATGTAATCCCACTTTCGACGAATGAAGCCTCGTGGCAGGATGTCGTGCGCACGGCGCAATTGCAGCTGCAGTGCAGCATGACTTGCATACTGCTGATGTTCATTCTTCCACATGTTCCCACGTGCGTGTCCTGTGCACCTTCTCGCTTGCCTGGGCCACCAGCATGGGCGCGAAGGCAATCGCGCTGCGTGCTTTGGGCTTCTTGGCCGCAGAGCTGCCCTTCTCTGGCGCGGCCGTGCCCGAGCGCGCAGGCGGCCTTGCTTGGCGGGGCGCGAGGCGCGAAGCTTGTGGACCTGGCTTCTCCCTGCACCTCCACTTGGCCCCATCATCATCATCAGCGTCATCATCATCACCTCGCCCCCTCCACCGCCTCCTCGAACCTCATCATCTGCATCATCATCACCCCTCCATCATCACCATCATCAGCAGCATCACCATCATATCAGCATCACCACCACCATCATCATCACCACCATCATCATCATCACCATCATCACCATCACCGTATTCTTCATCATCGACATCATCATCATCATCATATTCTACTTCATCTTCATATCCATTCTCACCATCATCATCACCACAACCATCATCATCACGAACCTCATCATCATCATCATCATCATCATCATCATCACCATCACCCTTATCATCATCGTCATGATCATCGTCATCATCATCACCATCACCATCACCATCATCATCATTATCATTATCATCATACTCACCATCATCACCATCATCTTCGTCATCACTATCATTACCATCATCGTCATCATGATGATCATCATCACCAGCAACATCACCATTATCATCACCACCATTATCATCTTCTTCTTTACCATCATCGTCATCATCACCACCATCATCATCATCACCATCACCACAATCATAATCATTATCGCCATCATCGTCATCAGCGTCATCGGCACCACCATCATCATCACCATCGTCATCGTCATCACTATCGTCATCATCATCGTCATCATGACCATCATCATCATAATCATTACCATCACCATCACCATCACCATCACCATTATCATCACCATCATTCTCATATTCTTCTTCACCATCCTCGTCATCATCATCACCATCGCCATCACCATCGTTATTACCGTCACCATCATCATGATCAGCATTATCACCACCACCATCATCACCACCATCGTCACCACCACCCTCACCATCACCATTACCATCGCCATCACGATCACCATCAACACCACCACCATCACCACACCATCACCATTACCATCAGCTTTCCCATTGCCATTACCATCATCATCACGATCAGCAGCATCATCACCATCATCATCATCATCAGTATCATCGCCACAATCATCGTCGTCATTATCATCACCGCCATCACCGTCACCATCATCAGCATCATCAGCATTACCATCACTACCACCATCATCACCACCACCATCACCACCACCATCACTTTCACCATCACCATCACCATCACCATCACCATCACCATCACCATTACCATTACCATCACCATCACCATCACCATCACCATCACCATCACCATCACCATCACCATCACCATCACCATTACAATTACCATTACCATTACCATTTACCATTACCATTACCATTACCATTACCATTACCATTACCATTACCATTTCCATTACCATTACCATTACCATTACCATTACCATTACCATTACCATTACCATTACCATTACCATTACCATTACCATTACCATTACCATTACCATTACATTACCATTACCATTACCATTACCATTACCATTACCATTACCATTACCATTACCATTACCATTACCATTACCATTACCATTACCATTACCATTACCATTACCATTACCATTACCATTACCATTACCATTACCATTACCATTACCATTACCATTACCATTACCATTACCATTACCATTACCATTACCATTACCATTACCATTACCATTACCATTACCATTACCATTACCATTACCATTACCATTACCATTACCATTACCATTACCATTACCATTACCATTACCATTACCATTACCATTACCATTACCATTACCATTACCATTACCATTACCATTACCATTACCATTACCATTACCATTACCATTACCATTACCATTACCATTACCATTACCATTACCATTACCATTACCATTACCATTACCATTACCATTACCATTACCATACGAACTCTGCATCACCACCCAGCATCACCATCATCCATCACCATCCCACCCCATCCCCATCCCCATCACATCACCATCACCATCACCACCAATACCACCATCACCATCACCATCACCATCACCATCACCATCACCATCACCATCACCATCACCATCACCATCACCATCACCATCACCATCACCATCACCATCAGCATCAGCATCAGCATCAGCATCAGCATCACCATCACCATCACCATCACCATCACCATCACCATCACCACCACCACCATCATCACCATCACCATCACCATCACCATCACCATCACCATCACCACCATCATCACCATCACCATGACCACCACCATCACGACCTTTTTTCACCGCCGTCATCGTCCTCATCATCATCGTCATCATCCTTATCCTCATCCTCTTCCTCGTCCTCGTCCTCTTCCTCGTCCTCGTCGTCGTCATCGTCGTCGTCGTCGTCGTCCTCGTCCTCCCCGTCGCCGTTGTCGTTGGGGCGGCGGCGGCGACAAGGGCGCGGCGCCGGCGGGAGCTTCTGCGCTCCGCCGTGCAGGAATCGCCCACCGGCAGCTCCCCTGGAGGCGCACGCGCGCGCCTGCGGCGGCGGCTTCGAGTGCGGCGGCGGCTTCGGGTCGGGGGCACCCCTCCAGGGCCGCACCTCTTCCCACCACCCGAGCGACGCAGCAAAACGGGGCAGTCTTCGCCGACGCTGGCGCGTACGTTGCCCGCACAAGGATGCGCGTGCGCGCCCTCGTTTCCCATGCAGCGTGCCGCGCTGGCGGCCTACGTCAGCCACCGCGTACGATCACCATGCCATCTCGTTCAGGGAGGAAAAAACACACAGACACAATTAATCCTCGATTCCCCAGAAAATATTGGAAAATATGGGAAGTGGGGTGGAAGACAGAAACCCAGAAAATAGGGCGAACATATGGGGGATATTTTTATTTGTGTGTATTTATTTGTGCGTCCTGGGGCCCCTTCACTCGTGCAAGACCCGTCTCTCTTCGTCGCTCGCCCGGGCCCGCCGTCCCCGCGCGCACCGCGCCCATCCCCCGCTCCAGGTCCCCTCTTCCCGCGGGAGCGCTCCAGTCCCCGCGCGAGAGCTTCGGTCCCCGCGCGAGAGCCCCCACACCTGCGCGAGAACTTCAGACCTGGACCCACCGCGCGAGAGCCCCCATGCCTGCGCGAGAACTTCCGTCCCCGCGCGGGAGCTGCGGTCCCCGTGCCTCGCCCTCCTTGCCCCCCTTCAGGAGCCCTTTTCCTTCACCGGGCCTGAAGGAGAGTTAGATCGTCAATCATGGAGGTTTCCGCTCGCCCTGGGTTGTATTGAATTGATGCCGGCGAGGATCGCCCAATGGTATTGGAAAGCGCCAAATAGCGCACAGTAGCGCCCAGTAGCGCCCAAGCAACGCCAAAATGATGCCCAAATGCCGACCAATAGCGCCCGATGGCGCCATCTGAGGGAAATGCATGGCGTCCGCTTTGCGCGCTATTGGCCGCCGGGAGGAGGAGGAGGAGGAGGAGGAGGAGGAGGAGGAGGAGGAGGAGGAGGAGGAGGAGCAGGAGGAGGAGGAGGGGGATTATGTGATTTGCTCTTTAAAGGAGAGGGGTCCTGAGGGAAAGGGGTCCTGGAGGTTTCTGTGGCGCTTTCCGTCTTCTGGGGCCCTCCACGGGCCCTTGGGCCCATCAGCGAACGACTCAGGATTGAGAACTGGTCCTGATAGGCCCCGGGGTCCCGGACCCGTTCCCCTGAGGACCCGCTTCCTTCATGCCAAGGAGTCTGATTCAGGTGGAACGACAGGTTTGGGGTTCGAGGTCATCGGGCCTCGCCGAGACCCCCCCGGGCCTCGCCGAGACCTTGCGCCCTCGGGCCGCCCTTCTCTCCCCCCGCTCGGGGTCGACGCCCAGGGGGGCACGGGCTCCGGGGGCTCCGGGGGACCTCCGCTTCCCTTCGGGTCCGCTGCCTTCCTGCCAGAAGGGGGCACTGGCTCCAGGGGGGAGCGGCAGGCTCGAAGTGCGGGGTTCGAGGCCGTTGGGCGCTTTCGGCGGTTCTCGGCGGCCTTCCAGCCTCGAGGACGGCCTTTTCGGCGGTTCTCGGCCGTTTCCTTCATGCCAAGGAGTCTGACTCAGGTGGAACGACAGGTTCGGGGTTCGATCGTCGTTGGGCGTTTTCGTCGGTCCTCGGCGGCCTTCCAGCCGCGGGATGCCGTCCGGCAGCGGCGCCTCGCCGAGAGCGTTCCGGGGGCGCCCGGACCGTCCCGAAGGGCCGCCAGAGGCCCGACGTGTGTGGCCCGACAGCCAAGCGTCGAGGATCACTGGGGGGGGATCTGCTCAGGGAGGGGACGCCTCGATCCCCAGGCGCCCATGGGGAGGGAGGGAGGAGAGCGGGAGGAGAGGGAGGGAGGAGAGAGGAGGAGGAGAGATGGGGGAGGGAGGGGGGGAAGGAGGGGGGAGAGGGAGAGAGGCGAGGGAGGGAGAGATGGGGAGGCGCCGGTTTTGAGAAGCGGGAAGGAGGGAGGGAGGGAGGGGGGGAGAGGGAGAGGGGCAGGGAGGGGGCAGGGAGCGTCGCCGATGGGTGCCTGATAGGCCCACCCCCCACTGGAGCGTGCGGCTTCGCGATCGGGGGCCCGTCGCCGATCTGTCGGCGACGCATCGCCGATTTCGGGACGACGCTTCTCCCCTCTTGAACTGGTCACCTCCCCAACGTCCCCCCTCCCCCGAAGGCGTGCAGGAGTGGTCCCCGTCGGCGCTCCGCAGGTGAGGGTTGTCGGCCGGCACGCGCGGCTCCTGCGGCCCAGGGGCTCCAGCTAGGGTCAGCGATGAGCCGTGGCGGCACCTCGCGGCGAAAAGCGGAGGAGGCTCAGTCGAACAGGAAAAAACGGCATGAGCGTAACCTTTCGGAGCTCCGCGCGCATTTCTCGGATCGGTGCTGGGCCCCCCGGCGGTGCCTCTGGCGCCGTCTCTGGGGCGCTCTGCGCGCCAGGGAGGGTGGTCCAGCGCAGATCCAAGAAATCCGCGCGGACCATCGACTGTTGATGTTCATGACGTTTTTTCTTCCCCTATCAGAGGAATATCAGGAGGGGAAAAAACACAGACACAATTGATCGTCGACTCCCAGGAAAATATATGGGAAAATAT